CTCAATGATGACCACTGTTTTGGTCAAGTAAGTTTAAATCATTGCTAGCCATAATGTGACTCAGTTCTGGCTTATTACTATTATTATCATCGGTCTGTGCAATTTTAACTCTTTAAGTTTCACGATTCGATTCACAAACAGTCCATCTTCATGCATAAGCCTGTGGTGTTGCTAGAAGTGATATTATGCGACCCCATTATACAGCCCAAGTCGCAGTTCGGGTCCGAGTGCGACTATGCGAACCTGTAATACACTCTTCACATTAAGCTTGGAATGTAGCTACTTTACCGCCCTGTATGATTTGTTTAGTATGTACTGTCAGTTTGGTGAGCTGACAGTTCAAAAATCCCTCTTTGTTCAAGCCTCACCTCCTTCAGGTTACACTCGTTGGGTGGCATCCCTACCGTTTCATGTTCGGTGAAGTGCAAATCGACGTTGCAACAGAACAATCGGGGAAAGGACACCTGTTTACTTGATATCAGGACGGTCAGATTCTTGAGGGTTAAAAACAGAACGTCCAAGATAAACTGGGGACAAACGATTAACCACATCAGTAAGGCCGCCAAGTCAATGGACCAGGAAAGCCAGCTATCGACTCAACTTCCAAGCAGCAAGTAAGGACGGATGTGTAAGTACTCACGCGTGACTTAGAGGAGAAACAAATCAACAATCGATGGGGCAGTCCTGATTTGAGGTCAAAAGTGCACTTCAAGTACCGCGATGCTCCTTGTGATTTTGCGCACTTTTGCTTGCACTGAGACCATTGTGTTCTTTTTGGATCAGTCTTTTCCTTCACTAATCTTCTGAAGTCACCGGTTGCAGTCGGTTACAACACCAAATGCATGTACAGCGCGGATACATGTGTGAATCACTAATCCACATCATGCGACAGTTGCGGGTGACACTGGGGTGTTGATGAGAAGCTTGTGATGTGAGCGTCCCGATTACACAAACATCAACTTTGAGAAACCTATGGTCTGCTTTCTAGTAGACCACACAAGTTTTTTTCTAAATCTGGTCTACAGAATGGACGGGTCGTATAATTTTTCAACTCAATTCAGGTTTACACAAGATATGCTGAAATTTTTTCAAGCGTTTGCTTTTTTCGAAGTTCTTGAAACTGCCTTGAGAGTATTCCCATGTTTACAAATCTGTGTTATTCCGAATCCAGTTCTGTCGGATGTCCTATCCTATAATGAATATCTTGACGGGTATTTGAATGGGGATACACGCACACACCCTCAGGTGGTTGTGCTAGCAAGCAAATGATCACACGAGGTACTGGCAATTAGGTTGGATTACTAAAATCGCTCAAACGTATTGCAATGTTCACAGCGATGGGTGGCGCTCAAGCGAAAGGATGATACGTGGAAAAGTGATTCGCGAAAAACTGAACAATACCGCACTGTCGACGGCCACATACGGGCAATAATTCCGACTGCTTACAATCTTTATGTTGGATGATATGATACGTAACAGCTAAAACGGTAGACTCTGTAGTGAACAGAGGCTTAAGCGACTGACACTGATTCTTTGGTTTTCATAGACGCCAGGCTGTAAAATGAAGGCCATCCCACTAATAAACTGTGTTCAGCATCTTTCGTCAAATGCACTCAACCGGCAAAAGGATCTCACCATTCTGAAATGGATAGTATTCTTCTCCACAGCTCACGCTGGCCTTATGCAGTAAATGTTCCCTTCTGTAGATAATGGGATCGTAGGTTTTAGCCTGTTTGCCAGGCGTCGAAATATTCGGTTTTTCAAACGTGGTTTAAAACGTGGTATCATGGGGAAGAACCGCATATTAAATTGCGAATTTTGAAAGAGATAGATACAAACAGAGTTTCATGTGCCTCTAGACTTTCCAATAACATCTTCCCACATCTTGTGCTTAAAAAACGACGCGCTTCATGCTTTCACAACTCAGTGATGAATGAGCTACCCTACAGACTTGAAATAAGTCAGTTGTTAAGGTGCGAACGTGCTGACCGTGGGAACCGTGGCTTGAACCAATGCAGGCATTCCGACTCTTCCTCTGTAGGCTTGAGTAACCCGAGAGTGATTCAGTTCTCATGCTTCCTTCGAGGGTTAGGCAACTATGCACTGGAAGGGCGCTATTACAGGTGGTTTCTTTCGGGCTAACGTGCTAGGCCAGCACCACAGAACTACGGAAGAAGGAGGAAAACCATCTATACAGAGTGTTCCGGAAGAATGGATATCCAAGGAGTTTTGTTAAGAGAAGCTTAAAGAAGAATACATCTCAACAACAGCCACAGCAAGAACAAGCCACCAGACGAGTAGTCCTACCTTACATCGCAACCAGAACTCGCAACCAGCAAAAAGGAATCTTCGTGGCCCACAAACCGAGTACTACTCTAAGGAAATTAATCTGTAAACCGAAGGACAACCGGGACAAAACCAAGAGGAACAATGTGATATACCAAATCGACTGCAACGACTGCAACAAATTCTACGTTGGACAAACTGGGAGAAAATTATGTACACGAATAAAAGAACACAACGCGGCTGTCAGGAGGCATGACCCCCTGTCCTTGATATCTATACACGAGGACCAACAAGGCCACAAATTCAATCTGGAAAACGCGAAAATTTTGGCATACGGAGGCACGCGACACGGAAGAGAATTTCTGGAAGCATGGTACTCTACGGCAGGGTCAATCAACCGGTGCATCGAACTGGATCCAATTTACGCACCTTTACGTGCAAGAGATCAACATTGCAACCGAAACACTCAAGAAGGACCGAATAATGGATTACAAACGAAGAAACAAGGAACTCCTCGGAGTCAAATCAATAAAGGTCACAACGGGAACTCGGAAGGACAAAGATCACCTCAACACCGACCAGACTACCACGGGAAGGGATGCCAAGTTCAAAGGTCAGGTGGGCATCGACGAATGAGGACACGGGATAAAAGAACAACCAATGGAACCGCCCGACAGAATAACTAATCGCGGTCAAAGGTCGTCCCCGGCTACCAGCACGTATATCAACACACACGTAACACTACTGAACGCACAACCACTAACCCACCGCTACTCACAACTACGCACTGATGATGTCACCTCGATTAGTGATGAAACGTTTGCAACCAAATTGCCCAACTCAGCGAACAAGCCAACGACCATCTACGCCACCTGAACTATCAACATTCTCCTCTATAGAAAACTTGTATGTGTTGATCCAAACTCAAGAAAAAGGGAACATATGGTCCGAAAGCCCCTCATCAATGAAACAAATGTGCAATATATCCAGTCTCCCCTTTGTACCGCTTACATCAAAATTTTTGCTTTTCTGGTGGATTATGGATATTGATATTTCCTCTATTTGGTGTTCCAACAACTCGCCTGACGTGGCTTCAGATCAGCAACATGAAACCGGTACAGCTAATCCCTCGGCCTGAGTCATGTGATGGACACGTGTTGATCGACTGCATTAGGGATGCCCATCTCACTAATCCGTTGACGGCCAATGCTGGTCCAGTTCACCAGGGGATCAGAGCTGAGAAAGTCCCCAAACTAGCCATTTTTGTGATAAGATCACATTTTCTACAATGTTGATAAACAGACATGAAATTTTCAACCGCTGTTCCACGGAAGGCACATGATTTCATCTTCGGATGGTACGCCATGTTACGATCGTTAATAGCCAAAATTATCAACCGATCGGATGCCATGAATCAATGCAACATTCCCCATCGGTCCAGTGGTTTTACACGATCCTACGTTAAGTCTAGTTTAGAACCGGACGTATGAATGAAACTTAAGCGAAGTCTAACTGTGAATAACAATCTCGCGCAATGATTTATAGACTGGTTTACCTTAACTTTTCAATCTCTCTCAAGTTCCAACAATTCACAAACCCAATACTGCCCAACGAATGGTGTAGAATACATAAAGTTCCGCTAGTTTGCGCGTCACAGATTTTCTGTTTGCTCGTGATGGCTACCATCTACAGGAACTCACTGCGTACTGCATGACAAGTTTACCTCAGTTTTAGTTGATTTGATTTAGAAAGTGTGCCACAACACGTTCCGGCGTTAACTGAGAGTCAGAAATCTCTATAGTTCACTATGATCTGACATAGTTAATGCGAATACTCAAAATGCTCCACTTTAATACAGTCGAAACATCTGCCATGCGGCTGGCTCTATCTAAAGAACCCTGTGTTCTGAGACCCCACAAATGTGTGAGCCCATTGAGAAAGAAGAGTTGTCCGCCTCTCAGAAAACTCTCACTCCTCTGACTTAACCAATTTCGCAACGGAAAAGTAGCATTTCAGCAGAAGACAACACTGAAATTTTTTCACCATGGAGGTAAATAGTATCAACCAGAAATCAAACGCTCCCACGCATCACAGTATTCTTGAGACACAAATTATGCCTTTTTAATATACAGGGCTGTTGTGATCTAGAAAGATCAAGTGAAAAAGTGCATTCGCTACTCTTGTAACATCTTGATAATATCGATCCAATGGACCAGCTGAATCATTTTGCGGCTTCGTATTCAAGGCCAAAACGTCCTTAGCTGAAAAGCAAAAAACTTCCAACAGCCGAATAATATTTGTTGCTTCACAAATCCGGAAGGTAAGTGCCAATTACTGACAGAGCCTTCAGTCATAGATGGGTACACAGAATAGGATAGCAACACTGCTGAATAACTCTTCAAAGAGAGCAATCTTAGGGGGTGACTCTTTGTCAGTACTACTCGGCTTTCTTTCCACAACCACCAAAACATCGCTACGCACTACTACGCTGAGGATGTCACCTCGACTGGTGATAAAACGTTTGCAAACTGCACGGCTCAGTGAATAAGCCAACGACCATCTCCACTATCTGAGCTACCAACATTTTCTCTATAGAAAAACAGCGCTTTCATACCGCAATAGCAGTAGGTTGAGGTGAATTGGCCTCTTTTTCTAACAACTGATACCTTTGCCCACGTGCCATCTGCTTGACCATAGTAACCGCATTGATTTACCTTAGGCAACTCCCGGGCCATAGATTTGTATGATATTGTGTGGCGGAATGGTGGTATCACACTGAAACGAAAAGAATTACAAAACGGTCAGTGTTAGGCTTGTCTCACCATGCTTGAGTTGGCCGGTAGGTCTCATAAGTGCAAGTTCACTCCTCAACACCATTCCGCCGAATTTGAAAAAGCATAACAAGCTTACCCTTACATCCAGCTCCATACGAAACTTCCGTTTCGTCATGACTCTACGCGGGTGTCCAGAATCCTACCCCCACCCCCCGTTCACAGCCTAATCGGTAGCGAATGACAACCAACTTGCCACCTGAGACACAGCTATCAGCAAAAATGTGTCCTCCAACCACATTGACACGTTTGAGAGATTACATCTGGTTCATCAAAACAAGTCAAATGAACTGCTAGCACTGCATGATCTCAGTCAACAGAGTTATTGACAAAGCACTACCGAAAACGTTAAACACAGCCAGATGATTTGTTCATTAGCACTTTGCCATATCAAGAAATGACTACACGTCAATGTGAAACAAGTTGTCCACGTACGATGTACACTTGAAACAGAATTGTTCATTAGCACTTTGCCATATCAAGAAATGACTACACGTCAATGTGAAACAAGTTGTCCACGTACGATGTACACTGAGAATGAAACAGAACACGGGTGTATTTGAGCTAATAGCAACCGAATGAAAAATGACATGACCATAATGGGTTCCCGCACGTGGTGAGAGGAAATGCTCTGCTTCTACTTAGCTTGTTTATTTGGCCGTCGGTGCTCGAACAAACGTGAGAATGCGAAATGCTGAGAACACTCGCGGAAAATACATTAGGAGATTTGTTATGGGATGTGTGAGAAAGCTTGTTTATTTTTCCGATATGGAAACGGATGATTTTCGAATATCAGAACGTAGATAACAGGATCGCAAGAGTTCGTTATGTCCTAGAACACAAGTCAAACTCGGTACTGCCAAATATGTATACTGTTTATGAGCTTATTTATGAGTGAAACTAGAATCCAGTGCTCCCCCTTTGGTGGCGACTTACGAGAGCAGTAGCACGAGAACAGGAGGAAGACTGTTCAAACGATAGTGGCTTGGATGTTAATTAAACCGGTCCCTTGCAAACCCATCCTCGTACAGTTCATACGATGATCACTGAAGTCATCGCAAAGTTTGGTGATGGTAGAAACCCTGGGACCAGATGCGGCTTTTTTCCATAAACGCCTGTGGTGTGACACAACGGATCAAGGATTGGCAAAATCGTTTGCTTGTTCTTAATGAGATGAATATCATATATAATTGTTGTTTGTACGAAATCATTTTAGTCGAAGCCGAAACGCTTAAGCCGGTGCAGCCTTCAGGTTCCGTTCAGAAGAAGAACAACTGCTGGGATCAACCTAGGCAGAAGCTTCAGAAGCTTCAAGGAATTGTAACCACTTCCGTCTCCCATCCTCTATGCGTGCCCACGTCTAAGAAGCTATCTTTCAAAACAACCAGCTCTTCAGGATAACCGTCTCCACTGGAACAGGACTGCCGACAATAGAAGAAAGTTGGCAAAACTCATTATTTTTTAATTCATCGTGGAAATGAAAACTTCCGACGTGGAAATATTTGCCAATTTTTCTGCATTAATATATGAGGATCACAAGTGATTACACAGGAGGCGTTGTTTCTAGCAGTATTTCTGTATCCGGGTAATTGTTAGTGATGTCGAATCCACCAACGCTTGGACAAATATGAGCTTTGTGGCCTTTATCATAGAATGCGTTTGCTTTTCAGTGTTACTGGTAGAAAATGTCTTCGCCGGAAATAACATACAAGTGAAAATACCGACAAAAATTATGGAGTGTCCTCGTTTGTATACCGCCTATTAGGCTATTTGCTACGTGAAACATGTTGTTGGATCCGGTGGGAGTACGTGATGTTCCTAGTTCATCTACAACACTAACATTCAGCGTGACAGATGGTAAACAGATTGTTTACATATCGTTGTCTTTTCGTACTTCCTAGAAAAAATTTCCTTCTTTATCCAATGACCGTAGCTTTGTAAAAACCTGCCTACCCGATGACCACGAGCCAAGCTCGTCTGAAGCTTGGGTGTTCAGATGAGAATAACAGTTAAATAAGCGCGCTGAAGTAGCCTCAGGTTACACTTCATTTTGTGACCATAAATGTAACAATAGAACGGACAAACTATATTAAGTACGCCGTCTACAGAGGACTAGATGTTGCTACGATGATCTAAATATATATCACTGAAAGCTTTCCACACTCTTCGAGGTTCCGATACGCACAAATTACGGGTCCTAAAACATACTAAACCGCGCCCACCCTTTCCTTCAATGGACCGTCCCAGCCCAGGTTTACGTGCGTTTTTAGTGATAACAACTGACCGCGCTTCTTCAGTTCATGTCACGTAATCAGACACACGATACACCGTAACACAAAGTGAAGGCATCTACGTTGTTGGTCGAAAAATTCATATGATTCGATCTTCTATACAATTGTTCGATTTGCTGCTCAAATCAACCGGCGGTCATTCAGTGCACTATCTGTTTGTCGTCATTGAGAGTGAATCGACGGCTATCCAATGAACGAGTGCTCAGAGAGAAAAACTCGGATAGTAAAACTTTTGAATGATCGGTAGGTTCTGCAGCTACATTGATTTCCCTCCGGTAGTGGAAAAAATCAACGTAACTACTATACATCCTAGCTCAAACGATGCCACTGTTTAAAGTTTTGGAATACATTTCTCGCACTCGCCAAATTAAGTCTCTTCGACTCAGATGGCATGTGTTGATTATTTTGCTTCTCATTTGGCTCGAAAATGAGCAGGTAACGGAGTTGAAATGGTCTACTGGAAGGCTTGACTGACATAGTTTGATAAGTTTCAGTACATTTGATTCGAAGACATACAATGTCTGACATGATTAGGTTGCAAGAGGCTCTCAAAGATATGGTCGGATAAGGTAACCTGTTGGATACTTCTCTCAGCGCTTCGATGGAGCCGCAATCCACATTTACGTGGATGGTATTGGTAAATTATACATCCGCTGTTTCTGAAAAACAGTATGGAAGAACATGCTGGCGGCTGGTTGAGTCCCCCTCCGATGCCGGATGAGCAACATCAATAACACCACACTGAACCCACAGTAAAAGTGACGCACGCCAGTGGAACCAAGATATGGCGCTTTTCGTAAAGTCATCATAAGCCGCCATGAAGGGCCAACCGGTGTAGAAGCGGCCACTCAGAGGGAGCAGCTTACTGGACCTAGAGCGATAATCTTTCCACATTCAAAAAACTACACATTGTCTCCCACCGTAATCATACCGCGATTCAGAACAAAGACAACTGGGTGCATAGGAATACTTCAAACAGTAAAATTTCTCCGATGTCCTGCGTACCGCGGTCCCGTTTTATTCTACCGGGACAAAACACAAACCAGCTGGCGCTAAATGCAGTCGTATGCATTCGAATTCCAGGTCACTCAGTCTTTGTGTAATACGGTGAAATAATTTGAATCACTCTCAGAGGACGTCAGTTTCAAATCAGACTGCGGTTGGATTGGAGCTGAAAAAGTGGGCTGCTATGCTCGAGCTTGCTCCTCATGTTGGTGGTAGTGATGAGGGTGGTAGTTTGTTGACTTGGCTTTCTCAGGTCGGCCGCGGTTTTGACTACAGATAAGCGAATATGGTAAAGTTTCGCGCCTCATTAGAAGACGATACTTACCTCGTTCGATATTTGCGGAATTGACTGGAATGGTTCACAACTGAGATGAATATGAGCTAAAGCAAACACATGCAGATTGGAGTCGATTTCTGTGGCGAATTGGTGGAGCTTCTAAAACGTTTTGAGAATGTTTCGAAAAAAAATCAAAACCTAACAACTATTCTGCACATAATGTTGGATGCGAACAGATTTCAAACAGGGCTACCGGGAAAATTCAAGATGAGCTTGAATTCAAACGGAGCATAAAACTCCTTATTAAAAGTTCAGTTGCATCGTGGACACTTCCAAAATAAAGTCGCCAGTTTATTGCCAGAAAGTTTGTGTTCAGAATTGAACTCACTTAGTTGTGTCACCCGTGTTCTGGTATCAGGTTTTTCTTCCAAACAGTAAACCAAGATTCATTTGAATGCTTCGATGTTACGTGAAGGGGAGATACTTCCAAAATAAAGTCGCCAGTTTATTGCTGGAAAGTATGTGTTCAGCATTGAACTCACTTGGTTGTGTCACCCGTGTTCTGGTATTAGGTTTTTCTTCCAGAAAAAGATTCATTTGAGTGCTTCGATGTTACTTGAAGGGGAGAATAATTCTACAGGCATGCTGTTCCATGTCAGCTCCAAACAACGTAAGCAACGTTAGAGGTAGCAGTCACCCCAGGTTATCCTGAAACCTTCCTGGATTTCACCAGTTTTACACACCTGAGGTAATCCATGAGTCAGTTCGAGAGCTGCTGGTTGTGACACTCCCGTCGCACGTCAGATGTCCAAAGTTTAAACTCCGGCATCAAGGATATGCACTGCTAATAAGCTCTTATAAGAGCGAAATTCGAGTACAGTGCTTCCTCCTTTGGTTTGGACTCAGCAGACTAGTTACGCAAAAATAGGGGCAGAACTGTTCAAACAAGAGTGATGTGAACTCGATTTCTACAGAGTTAACCGGTGGCTCGTCCGGTGACGGTAGATCTCTTACCTCAGCCTGATAACCAGCTCGATGAACAGATAAGCGAGTGCCTGATCAAACATCATGTAAGGTTGTTATGGACGCGCAGTTATCCTTCCTCAGACAGGCCACCTTGTTGAAAGGGCAGTTTGAGAGTGAGGGGTTTACTTCTTACAATGGTAACGTGAACTGTCTATCATTGCACCAGATCGTGGAAAAAATTGTGAAAAATCGTGTCTCCCGAAATGATTCTTCATCAACATAGTCCCAAGTTTCCTCATCTGATATTGCCTTCCGAAAAAATATCGTGTAACTCGTGCCCAACACCCATTCTTAAGTGGAAAAGCCAGCGGTGCGCATCTCAAGTTACTGGTTTCAACGCTTAAGCATTCGATTACGCGCTGCTGATCAGCAATATGATTGTCCCGAACTTATACCGAATGTATCACCACTAATCCTTCAGTCATTGTCGTCTACTTCATAAACGAGAGATTCAGCTGGATCCAGTTGAGGCTTCCGCCGAAAGCAAATTACTCTGCAAAAGAGAGCGTTTTGCGCTGTCACGCAAAACATTAATTTGCAAACCACGCATTTCAAAAACTTTGAAAAGTTCACAGTTCTTATAGGTTTATACAAATGTATGATGGTTGGACATTGTAGTGGGAACCTGCTGTGTCCGATTTCTGTTTTGCAGCGGTTGATACAGCAAAATACGAGGGGTTGCAGCAATATATGAGGAGAGCACTCTAGCTCCGGTTATCTTAATATTTCCTCCTTCGCATCGGAGTAGTACTCACAGGTAATAATGGTGGTTTATACATCCCGTTTGCAATTCAGTTTTCACACTAGCCCAAACAAGTAACAGTTAACAGTCGAAACTGATGTGGATCTATGTGCTGAAGTGAGAACGATGTCCAACTTGTCCACACATTTAGTTGACAATACGGTTCTATTTGTCGCTTGTTATTTCGGTACTTATCCAATCATGAAACTGATGTATTCAATTCTTGACAACCGGGTAAGGTGAAAGTTGCAGCAGATGGCTGCTCCGAAAATCGACCGGAAGTGGCGGCGGTGTGATCTCACGCGGAGTGAACGAATCCGGACATCAAACAACACACGAAAAATCTTATATGTGAATTTTTGTGGTTCGATCCCCACACAGGATGAGAACTATACGTAATCCAAAGCGTGTGAAGCATGTAGCAGTGTGTACCATCACCTCGAATCTGAAAGTGAAATTTTCTTCCAGCTTCTTCAACGAACGCGAAACAGGTATGTCGCGCCTAGTTGGTTCCTAAACGTGATGAAGTGATTAAACACAAGTATCGTTTCAGTGTCCATAGTGCAATCTTAAAAGCACTTTTAATTTCACCGTCCTAATATTCTGAAGGAGCATTGTAATTGAGTTTCACTCTTATTGGAGATCACTTGCAGTGGATACTATTGGCTATCTTGGGGTTTGCCATCCAGGCCTCCGTTCACCGAGGCGAACAAGTCACCGACACTAGCATAAGGACGCTGGTTCGTCGGGCCTACATATTCGCACTTCGGACAATGCTCTTAGTTTCTTCGGACGCCTGGAACGGTGGCCGACTAACCGTTCTGATTGTGCGAGCCACTGCCCTGCCTGTAAATAACTTCCAGCTGGGTGGATCCAAGGGCACCCTAAATAAACTGGGTACTCGCGTTTGCTCATTTGTGATACTCGTATGGGCTGACTAACAGCTGTTTCTCATCGAACAGACATGACACAGTAGACCAAATGAATATCTGAGCATCTCCTAGACAAAGGACACCGTGTAAACGCCGCAACGGCTTTTATACCTGTCTACGAAGTACCTTCAAACTTGTCAAAGTCTAGCAGACCAAAGATCTGTGACCACTGCTGTAATTATCAGCAAAAGAATTCACCAGTTTGAACTTTGTATTCAAAATTAAATCAGCCGTTAGTACCCATATGGTTGGCTGGTCAGGTGACTGTCGAACCGTGTGGTATTTTCTTAACCAACCACCGAATTTAGTTCTGATCAGATACTCTTACATTCTATCTATTTTGCGAGTCTGACGAAGAGATATCAAGAAGATACACTTGACTTTATCAGTGCTGTCTTAAAACCGGTAATGTTGTCTGTTTAGGACAATACAAACGTACAGGAGTAAACATATACCAACATAATCGTCCTGTCAACCACAGTCCTGAAAAAACTGATTCCCAGGAAATGCCATCCCGTTTCACCTAGTTCGGGACAGCTCAAACCAAACACTTATCCCACACTAAAATACAAGGATATCCACTAGGGCTTATTTATCGCGCCACTGTTGATTCAGTGGCTCTCAGTCATCTTTCATAGTGCGACNGTTGATTCAGTGGCTCTCAGTCATCTTTCATAGTGCGACAATTTGAATTACTTCAGTCAAAATCCTTACCCTGCTCGCAACACACCTGCAGCGGGTGACAATCAACACAACTTTCACGTTATTAATTCAGCTCACCTCGTTGGTGCTACCGGAAACAGCATGTGGTCACCGGTCTTCGCATGTCAAAGGCATTAACCGTTAACTTCACTCCTCGCTGACTCTCACTGTTTACAGGCGAAATCTGTTGTACTGTTTACGCAGGTGATATACTGACTCACCTCATGCATTCTGTCCACCACGGTCCCACTTTACTCGGAATGCGTGTTTGTGCACATACATGTGTGTGTGTGTGTGTGCAGACCTCGACAAGGCAGCAAACCACAAAATGTCAATACGAACTTTGCACTTGAAGTGAATTTCCGTCATGCCCAAAGTGCAGCCACTGGTTTAAGTTTGCTCGTAGCCTGTGTTGACGTGCTCAGGTTTTTTTTCCAACCGTGAAGTGCACTTTCGATAGACGCACATCGTGCTTGTACCTGACAGATGAAGCCTAGTCTGTAGGTGAAAGATTCATGGTCCAATGATTTACCCATATTTGTCGATGCTTGCATACTAGAAGACAAGCGATGTTGAAGTAAAACTGTCGGGAAAAGACCTGGTTGAGAGAAAGACGTCGCACGAGCTGTCGCTATACACTTGCACAAGCTTGGAAACACTGAACTGCTTATACAGGTTGGACTGCCATGCCGCTACCAAGGCAACGGCATGATTGGTGTCTACGGCCCAAAGACTAGTTTTTCGTGTTGCAAGTGCCCAAATCACATTAGTTAATTTGGAGGCTATTTTACTCTAAATCATATTCGTACCGCAAGACCACCCTGGTATTAGCTATCCAACAAGGTTAGATAGGTCCATATAAGTGGCATGATATTGACTGGACATTAGTCAGGAACTCCGTTAAACAGTGGTTAACAGAGCGTTACCGATGTTTTGGTTGCATTTATCAAAGTTTGCAACCGTAGAATAAACTTTACGGTTGAAACCGATCCCAAAAATGTATCCTTAAAGGAATATAAGCACCCACCGTGTATCAGGATTTCCTTAATCCTTGGAGTTTCAAAAACTAACTGGTGTGAGCGGTAAGCAGCACTCATCAGCATTCAAGCCTGTATCGCTCACCTTCCGTGTGTGTCCAAACGCATTCCTGCTTGGCCTTGCTTACACCGACGGAGGAGATCTGCTCCCTAAACCATGTGACCAGAACTCAAGTGCACTGACGCTAAAAGTGCTGTTCATCATTACGCACATGGCCACCATTCGTGCGCCCATGAAAATAGTTTTCACACTCTCTTGGGGGCCCAAACCAACATCGGTTCGATTGCTGCATTCAGGGCCTTCTGCGATAGTTCTGGGCAGGGCAGCGTGTCCTTTCAAACATGTCTCCAATCCGTCCTGCCAACCAGAATTAATGGACGTCGTTCAATTCCTTTTTGGGATATATTGGCTGCAATTCGGGTGACTGTTGGTCTGTTCGTCGAGCCTTTGCAAGTAAAGCGTAAAAATCGAAGATCTGAACATGTTTTAATACGTCGAGGAGGATACAGCACTTCCGAAAGAAGGCATTAGAACGCAACACCGGATATCAATGAAGCAAACTTTCAACAGTTCACAAAAACCACGGGTGAGGGATGCAGTTTTATGGAAAGGGCCCGTGTACAGCCTGATAAGAAACCCACTCGCCGG